CCAATTGGTGATTAGAGATTAGAGTGGTCTTATATTGCCTAAGCGTGCTCTGANAGTGGTCTTATATTGCCTAGGCGGGTATATGATATTCAGATACGGAGGTTAGTGACTTTGACTGGATTTTCACATTAGAGACAGCCGTTCACATATCTGGGAGTCCCTTTGTTTAAAGGGGCAAAGATGAGCTTTCTGTATGATGATCTCATTATGAAGGTCAGGAGTAAGATTTCTGGATGGGCTTCACATCTTCTTTCTCCTAGTGGTAGGATTACTCTACTGAAGTATATCCTTTCCTCTGTACCATTGTATCTATTCCAGATTCCGTGACCTCCTAAGGTCATTCTGAAAAGGCTGGAGAGTATATTTGTGCGATTCCTAAGGGATTCTAAGGATCATGTACGTCGTCTACATTGGCGGAGTTGGNGAAGGTCATTCTGCAAATGCTGGAGAGTATATTTACACGATTCCTATGTGATTCTAAGGATCATGCTCGTCGTCTACATTGGCGGAGTTGGAAGGCAATTTGCCTTCCTGCGACGAGGGAGGTCTGGGCTTTAGACGATTACAGGATACGATGGACACATTTTCATTGAAGCTTTGGTGGTTGTTTAGCTCTCAGAGTTCTCTTTAGGCTCAGTTTTTACTGGACAAATACTGTAGAGGGACACATCTGTCGCTTGCAGCAGTTCTTTACTCAATCTCTCCTATTTGGAAAAGATTGAAGACATTTGAACTATGCACTGAGACACACATTGCATGGGGCCTTAGGATATGGCAAATCTTCTTCTAGCATGATTGTTGGATGGGTGATTCTACATTTGCATCCATTTTCCCACACAGACAGCACACATCTGCAAGGGTACAAGATTTTTTCGAAGAGACTGAATGGGATTTTGGGCGATTACTACAGGCTCTTCCATCAGCTATAGCAGAGAAGGTTGCAGCCATTCCACTATGTCTTAATGTATCGGATCGCATTTTCTGGAGGGTCACATCAGATGGTAGATTTACTACTAAATCACCATGGCAGCTGATCCGCTCTAGTGGTCAGTACAGGATTCATTTCGCCTACTGTGGAGCCCTATCATACCTCATATCGTTTCGTTCTTCTGTTGGAGATTTTGGCAGGACTTAATACCAGTTGATATCATTATCAAGAGGAGGATTGGTAGTCAGTTGGCTTCTTGATGTCAGTGTTGTTCAGAGATTGAGACCATCCTTCATATTTTTACTGGCAGCAGTATATCAGATCATGTTTAGCAACATTTTGGGGCTTTATTTCAGATTACCATGAGTGCAGGAGAGAGTGTCAGACAGAGATTTCTAATATAACGGTATTCTGGTCAATTTGCTAGGACCGGGCACATTCGCATCATTATTCTTCTATTAATTTTCTGGTTTCTTTGGATTGAGGGGAATAACGAAAAGCACGGGAACATATGTTTGAGTTCGAGACATATTATCTGGAGAGTTTAACGTATAGTATCCTTTCTCCATATTGGTAGACTATTCCGACCGTCACATTGGCGTAATGACATGCAGCTTGCAACACTTTTTGGAATTTCTTTGACTCTCCCTCAATCTCCTTTCCCTATCATGGTTTGGTGGCGCACTCTATCTGCCAAGATCAACACCGATGGTTGTGTCAAGGATGTGTTTGCGAGTGGGAGATGCATCATCATGGACTATGCTGGAAAATGTATCATGACTTTCTCAGCTTTATAGAGACAGTTTATGATATTAGAGGAGGAACTCAGGGCTATTCGTGATGGG